TATAATTCATCAACAACGCAGGTATTCACAATACCTGGTGATTCCTATTTCTCCAGAGAGCAGGACCAAAAACATTATCTAATCCTTGGTTTGTGCATGGATGAAGGGATATATCCTGCAAGGATGAAATGATGAGCTTCATCACTGGAAGCTTTCAAGAAGAGAATGGACTGCCATTTGTCAGAAGTGGTATAGGCTCTCCTGCTTGGGCAGGGGGTTGGACTAGATGACCTAAAAGGTCCGTTCCAACTCTGTTCATCTGAAGGGGTGGGGGGGAAGCTTTCTAAGAACTTTGCAAACTCTCAAATTCCCTTATTTTCTTTCCTATGCTTTTGTTTCTGGCATTATTGCTTTGAAAATCCACTGGAGGGCAGAATAGCTCCACCAAAACTATCTTTAAGCAACAGAGGTCTCCAAAGTTGGCAACTTTGAGACTTACAGACCTCAGCTCCATAGAGTTGAAGTCCACAAGTCTTAAAAGTTGCCAAGTTTGGGGAGCCCTGCATTACAAAATGGTTTCCTTTCTCCCCGGCTGAAAATTTACATTCAGATATTTCGGGGTTAGGGTTTTTATTGAATATATATTCATTTACTCCATCCGTGCTTAAGTCCTTTCACACTTTGGAGGGATGGGAGGGGTGTTATCCACATTTGCACAATGAATAGTCATTCAGCCCAACTGCTAAAGGCTAGAATGGACAGGGATGGATGGAAACTGATGGAGAGATTCAATCTAGAAATGAGGAATTTTGGCTCTTCGGCTTTGTAACGGAGATTAGCAACTGCCCTCTAGAGCTGGATATATATGTATAATACATATGTGTGTGTGTGTATATATCTATATATCTCTATCTAATCTATATATCTGTGTGTGTGTGTGTGTGTGTAGACACACACCTCTCTCAAGATTAGCTACAGGAGGAACAAAAAGAGAACTTGAACTAGAACCAAGAGGGGAGAGGTGGCCCAGCAACCCAGTCTGAAACCTGAGCGGAGCCAGTGGGCTGCAAACAGAGGCCACTGAGCAACAGGTAAAAGGAGAAGCTTCCTATCAGTGAGGAGAGTTAAGCAGTGAAAGAGCTTTGCCTCCAGAGGTGCTGGGTGCTGCTTCACTGGGGATTTTTAGAAAAAGTCTGCACAGCCACACAGGGTCTCTTGCTTTCTCCCCAGGCGCCTTAATCACTGGACCCAACTGGCTCCCCTTCATAAACAATCAACTTTTCTACTTTTTCTACTGTATACAATGAACCCGATTCTGTGTTCTGGATTCACTCTTTTCATTAAGGGAAATCTCTTTGCTACCATATTCTAATAAATGGCCTTTACACGGTCATCCCACTCAGATCCTAATTGAAGCCATGTGGCTGAATCTAGGGCTAATTTGGCTTTTATTGTGGGTGTGAAGGAGCTTCTCCCTGTCATTACTCGATACGATCTGTATGGGTTTTCCAAATGTCCATACCATCCCCAGATGTCTGAAACTCTTGTCAATTGGCTTTCCTAGTCTTCCAGCAGAAACCGCTACAAGAGATTCTCTAAGGCCAGCGAAGCTCTGCGAGATACAAGCCACATTCTAAAATGGCCTCTACCCTTTTAGCCTTAAACGCCTGGCTTTTCCCCAGGTGCTGGGAGATCAGAGAATGAAAAGTGGGCATGGATTGGTGCCTGGTTTTTGTTTCTATTTTCAGTGTTTTGTGTTTTAATGCGTTGGATAGTTTTTAAAACGGCTTTTGGGGAGCTGCAGTGAGTTGACTGAAAGAGTTATAACCATGTTTTAAATGAATTAAGACTCATTAGGGACCTGTTTGCTCTCCCACGAGGTACAGAGATGAGGTCTTTTCCAGTTGTCAGGATAGTGAACATCCCCCATTGCTATGATTTCTGTTAAGTGTTGTTAATCAGCAAAAGGTTAAAACTCGATTTCATTCAGGGTTACATCAGGGTTGTGTTTGGGGGGGGGAGAATAGGGGGGCAGGTGGGTGTTGCTGGGGTAGGCATGGCCAGCTCGTCAGTCCTATTGGGGGCACCTGTAGTGGCCAAGCGCTGAGGCAGGACTTCCCTCTCAGACCCTCCCTCATAATTTTCCTTCCTTCCCCTTTCTTCTTTTTCCTTCTCTTTCCTTCTTCCTTCCTCTCTTTTGTTATTTTTCCTCCCTTGCTCTCTTTTCATCTTTCCTTCTTTGTCTTTCCTTTCCCTTTCTCCTTTCCTGTCCTGTCTTGGATGCTCAAATGCAAAAGGGGAAACATTTGTTTCGCTTTTAGTTCGTTTTGCTAACCCTTTGCCAGCAAAAACGGACCTCACTTTTATGCTGGCAGAGGACTGCAGGTGGCTGTCAGGGCTGAAAACTGGCCGGTAGAGCTGCCTGTGTCCCTCCTGAGCTGTTTTCGCTGGCAGAGGCCCTGTGGGCCAGTCCTTTGCTATTTCTAGGGCGGCCCTGTGGGCCAGATCTTGAGTTTTGACACCCCTGATCTAGTTCCTGTGATTGGGTGGTCCATAGTATACCCCCATGGCAACATCATTCCGTTTTCATATAAACCCAAATGCATTCAAGGTGGTTTTATTTTTTGCATTTCTACAAAGGTGTAGCCGTTTAGTGAAACTCCACCTCCTCTTTTATGAGGCCTGTTTTGAAAAATTTAAATCCTGGGTTTCATCCCACGTTTCAGTAATGGCAACAATGGCATCTTTGCTCTCATGTAAGGACTTCAGGTTCACTCTCTAATTTATTCTTCATACTTTGGGTGTTAACGTGTAGGTATCTCATCCTTTTTTTTATTGTCCTTGCATTTCCTTCCTAGATCTGCATTAGTCCTGGACAGTGGAGAAAAATAATTTCCAAAGAACTTTGTTCACAAAAACTTTATTCAACAACTTTATTTTCTCCCTCTCCTCCAAGATTTCTGTACTTTCCACTTAATTTGGCAGCTCTTCGGCTTTTCAGAGGGAAGGGAGAGAATTAAAACTTCTTGCTTCCTTTCCCCACCTGCCCTTTGAACAAATCACAAGAGACGCACTTCGAAAATAATAAATTAGCAATACATTCAACGCCAAGATGATCCCTGCAGCAAGCTTTTCTCTCTTCTGGTCTGCCCCAGCCTGGCGAAAGGGATGGGCCTGGCAGCAGGGAACTGTGGGGCTTTGGAGGCCCCTTTCTGTGGCACGAAGCAAAAGATGGGGCTATTTGCCCCAACAGCCAGCATACCTCCCTCACTGCCCAAGAACCCCGAGGAGAAAGGCTTTCCGGTCGTGGCTATGACCAGAAAGGGGATTTGGGATCCCTTGAACCCTCGGAGACAGGGCACCTTCTCTACCACTGGGCATTTTGTAGGATGCGATCCAAGATGCTTTTGCTGAGAAGACCCTTTCTATGGGATATTCTCACTCCGCAGGGTAAACAGTCCCCCACCTCAGTCCTTCAGTTAATGTAGCTGGACAGTCGACGGACAGGATGGAGAAAGGGAAGCAAAGCCAGCCTTTCACTGTAGCTGCCGGGATTTCTGAGCTGCTGCAGTTGGATTCCCATGACCACAAGTGATGGGTTTCTCCTCCCTCCCTCTTCCATCAAGAGCTCAAACCCTTTTGCTCAAGGAGCTGTTTGCAAGAAGGGCCTTTTTCCTCCCTATGGCGGGAGGCTCCACCATAGATTGGTTGGGGAAAAAGGTACCCATAAAGCACGGCCGTCTGGATTCACAGAGTTACGCCCATGGCCTGGCCTGATTCCCACTGAGGCCTTTGGACCTCACACATTGGGCAACTGCCTCCTTGATCTGGTCCAGGTCTAGGACCGTTGGGTTATCAGGATCTCCCTTCTCAACAGGGACCTCTTTCTGTGGTCTTGGTCTGCGGTTCAGGCAGACTAGAAACACACGCTGGAGACCTGGGCGGTTCTTGGGAAGTTGTCCAATCTTTCTGGGATGTTCAAAAGGCAAAAAGATCAGGAGTTGGGGAGCACCTATTCCAACTAACATGCTCTATGAAAAGGCAGGTGCTTTCAGGAGCTGCAGCATGCAATCAAGTCCTGATTTTTTTTGGTGGGGGCCACCATAGAATATCTCTTCAAGTACTTTCAAGGAGTTTTGAAAGTACTACACAAGTAGGAAAACCAGGAAAAAGTCAATCGCCCAGGGGAATGTCAACTAACTTTGTCTAATTCCACAGATGCTGATATAATTGTGGAATAAACTCCAAACCAACAGTCCACGATAAGCAGAGAAAAAAACAACAACTCTTCTCTACCTTCAAGGAAACCAGATTAAAAGAGGGCCAGAATCTGGCTAAAATCTTTATTATTTTGCCTGAAAATCCTTCAACTGGTTACTAAAAATATTATTTTTTGTGAAAGGCTGCAGTAGCTATAGAGGTAGCCCGCATTAACCATTCGTTATGGCAGTCCTGAATGAAGGGACGTAACCTGTCCCTGAAGTTATGGCCATTGTCAATGCCCCTGTGGCCACGTAATGAAAAGTCGACACTCCGCACCCTGCCAGACCTTATGACCGCCCTCTTCCTGTCCCCATCTCTGCCCTTCCTCTGAGCATGCAAAACTTCTGAAGGATCATGGGAATGGAGACCACTTGGAGAGTGGCGCAAGGCAGCCTCAATAAAGCTTTGCCACACACAGGCTGGGCACGCCTGACCATAGTTGGAAAGGAACAGCCAAAGTGAGACACTTTGTGTATTAGCAGACCGAATCTCCCAACCCTAGTGGGCTGGATACAAGCTTTGTGATTCACTGGAGCATCTGCCATCCTGCATGGCCTGCCTCGGGCACCCCAGGATTTCCCCAGCCTTCCTAAGACACCCCTGGCACCTCGAACCTGGGATTCCAGGTTCCACTTAACAAGCAGACATGCTGGGATGGCAGGCTTTGAGCAATAGCACTTAAAACTTTCACGGTGCTTTCCAGCCCTCTCTAAATGGTTTACAGCCTCTTTGCCCCCAATAATTTGGCTCCTCATTTTACCGACCTCAGAAGGATGGAAGGCTGAGTCAACCTGGAGCCTGGTGAGATTCAAACCGCCAAATTGCAGGCAGACGGCACTCAGCGGAAGCAGCCTGCAGTACTGCACACTGACCACTGCACCACCATGGCTCAAGCAGTGATCACATCCCACCTTAAGAACTGCGGCAACTACCCCCACCCATCTACCGTATTTCTAGAGAGATGCAGAATACTGAAAGCGAGTGACTTAGAACTAGACTTCATTGCCACTTTGAATGGTGTGGAGCAATTTAGAAGTGGCACTGGATCCTGTAATCAGCCAAAGGGCTGATGGGGCAGGCAGAGGCTCCATGGATATTTCTGTGCCCCAGTGGGCCCTGTAGCCAACACAGGCCTGGCCTGCAGAAGATTTCTGCATGCTGGACAGCCATTACAGCCTGCACTGGATCTCCCCCACCCCAGCTCTGCTTAATAAGCACTTACATCACTACAGCTGGGACAGCCTCGACTGCAGTCGCTGAGCAAAACGGCCACCCGACATGATTCTGAACCCAGCTGTGGTCGTAAGTCAAAGGCCACCTGTACTTATGTGTTCCACCCAAATTTCCCTTGGCTAACAGAAACCAAACATCTTGGTTCTGGGTGTTTGCTTCCCTCTTGTCTCCTCCCTAGCACCTTTCCAACTAGCATCAGATTGCACCTGAGATAAAAGGGCACCAAAAAGCACATTTTGAAAGCAAGGTTCGCACACGCACACACACAGAGTCACCGATTGTCACCAATTCTCATATTCCCAAGTGGGCTGATGATTTGGCACGGGATACAGGCCTAAAGAGGCAGAGACATAAATCAATCTGACTTGGGGGGGGGGCTGTCGACCCCTCCAGCAGCCCCTTGGGGGTGTGGCCCCTTGGTGGAGACCTCCCACTTCCTCGGTTCCTGAGCCTGGTTTCCATAGACGATGTTCAAGCAGAAAAGAAGCCTCACTCTTGCCCGGTTGGCCCACAGGCACCTCGGTCAGCCGGAAGCGCCCACCCATTCTGCTTGCCACTCTTGCCAGTGCCATGTTCTCCGGGGGGAGAAAGTGCAGAAGGGAGGCATTGCCCCCCACCCCAAGAATGCCCCGAGTGCCACGGCCCAGATCTTCAGCTGGGAGCATCCAGAAGTCCTTCCCTTCGCTGGCCGTTTGTTCTGGCTTAACTGAAGCTGGGTCTTGGCTAGTGATCTGGTGCTCAATCCTTGGCTTGGTCGTCTTCTCCTGAAGCCAGGTCCACCCGCTGCTCATCCATGCGCTTGGCTTGGACTCGCTGGATGAGGCTGAAGAAATCCTCATCGGGCACCGTGGGACCACGGGGGATGGAATGGGGTGGGGCACAGCGCTGGTCATCCAGGCGGGAGGACTGCAGAAAGCAGGGTGGATAAAAATCGATGGGTTTTTTTTAAAAAAAAAAAATCCACAATATTTACATTTTCGGTAAACTCATTTAATGAATCCAAGCCCTGCAAGCTGAGATAACATGCCCTGCATTGATGCATTCGCAGAGTTTCACAGCAACCGTGAGATAAATCAGAAAGCAAAATGCAGGAATATTCCTTTATCCCATTGTTTTGCAAATCTATGTACACTACAAATTGTATGATTGTTTGGAGAGAAATGCATCTGTACCACCAGGCTCCAAGTCGGAGGAGGAAGGGCAGGCAGTAAAAATGGAAGTGAAACCTTCTAAGCAGCTTATAAATATATTAAAGAGCACCTGTCATTTCAGATCCATCCTGCAGCCCCTGTTAGCATCCACTCACCTGCTGCTTCCCAAATCCTTCACCGTGTTGTCATTGCCACATCACCAGCTGTCCCTTTAAAGCAGTGGCCCCCAACCTTTTTTGTGCCACGGCCCGGTACCGGCATCACAAAATGATCCACGGCCCGGTACCGGCATCAGCACACATGACAAGGCAAGGCGAACCGAGCGACCGGCCAGCCAGCCGTCCCCTGTTTCTCCCCGCCACCTTCAACTCCTCCTTTGTACCTTTGTCGATGGGCTTCGGGACGGCTTCGGGACGGCGGCTCGGCTCGCCTTGCCTTGGGTGCTGAAAGAATCCTCGCGCCTTAGTTTCGTTCGAAGCCGCCCCCCCCCCTTCGATGAAACTAAGGCGCGAGGATTCCTTCAGGACCCAAACGCCGCTTTCCAAACCGGAAAAGCTCACCCGGAAGCACTTTCTCATCGAAACAAGATGGCGGAGCCCAGCAAACCAACGGCCCGGTAGAAAATGTTCCACGGACCGGTCCCGGTCCGGGGCCCGGTGGTTGGGGATCCCTGCTTTAAAGGACTGTCAGTGAGTCAACAGCGGGTCAGGGGAGGAGCCACTGCGGGACAGAGATGACAGTTGCTCTTTAAAAATCATGATTTAAACCGAGGGGATTTAAATGAAGCTTTTTTACTAGTGATTTAAATTGACTTTATTTCAATCAAATCCACCCGGGTTGCTCCTGAAGGTAGCACCAGGCAGGGCTTCCTTGCCAGCCAGTTTACAAGGCTGTTAGGAGATTTCAGTGTGAATCACTAAGAACTCCACACATGGCGCTGAGCATCTTGGGAGGAAAAGCATAAGAAAGCAGGACGGGGTGTAACCTAATTTAGAGGTCTCCAACGTTAGCAACTTTAAGACTTGTGGACTTCAATTCCCAGAATTCCTCAGCCAGCAAAGCTGGGAGTTGAAGTCCACAAGTCTTAAAGTGGCCAAGGTTGGAGACCCCTGATTTAGAGGATGTGCTAAAACTGACTAAAGGGGTAGGCAGGAGAAGCCATAAGCTCTCAAGATCTTCCCCTACGGTGGGAAAAGGATGGTCCACTCTTGCTTGGCTCCCCTAGTGGAAGACATGGTGCCCAGCCTGTGCTTAGTGCCTAGGGCTTCTGCACTGGCATCACATCTATTAAAGGGAAAGGGAAAGGTTCCTCTCGCACATCCGTCTAGTCGTTTCCAGCTCTAGGGGGCGGTGCTCATCTCCGTTACAAAGCCAAAGAGCCAGCGCTGTCCAAAGACGTCTCCGTGGTCATTTGGCCGGCATGAGTAAATGCCGAAGGCGCATGGAACTCACACCTGCTAAGTTCCACCAAAAGCTAAGATTTGCCCAATGCTAGATAAAAAAAGTTAGCCACAACGTCTCGTGATCTGGGCCAGACTACTCTGAACAGCCATATGTCGTTTATTTCATTACTGCAATTATATCCCACTTTGTTGAAAATGGAGTATGTCGGGAGTGTCCTTCCCCCTCCTCATTTCATCTCCATCTCAACAAGAAACTAATCAAGGAGAGAAGCAACCAAGAAATTTCCTGACAGAACAATTAATCAGTGGAACAACTTGCCTCCAAAAGTTGTGAATGCTCCAACACTGGAAGTTTTTAAGAAGAGATTTGTCAATATATTCATGAACTGGAATAGAGCTTGGTAACAAGGTCAGCCAATGAGAGCTGAGTTGAGGGCTGATACTTAAAGAGAGAATCTGGGTGTGGTTTATCTCTGTTCTGGGCTCAGCTCTAAAGTGAAAGAGAAACTAACTTGCTTGCTTGCCTGCTGAACTAAAAGTGAAACCGAGGTCTGTTTCTGAGCTCCTGAATTGCTGCTCTGCCCTGAACCTGTAACATGTCTGCTTCTGTTTGAGTTGGCTCCATGTTGGAAAAATCTACAACTGGTATTGTAAAATTTACTTTATCTTTTTATAAAGAAGTTAAATGAAGCCCCAGCCACCTGTGTTTACTTTTCTGGTGCTGAATTTACACTGCAATACTCTGAACAAGATTGGATAACCATTTGTCTGAAATGGTATAGGGTTGGAGTAGAAGACCTCTACGGTCCCTCCCAACTCTGCTGTTCTAATTCTAATTATTTTAATTCTAATTCTAATAATTCTAATTATCCTAACTCTAATTATTCTAATAATTCTAATTCTAATAATCCCTATTTCCTATCCCCTATCCTATTCTTGCCTGCAAGGTAGATTTAGCTGTAAGAAAGCAAGTGGTTCAAAATCTGCCAATGAAACCCGTGGCTAAATGAGGCCTTGAGCCCACACCTTAGCTCCAAGGCCCTACCGTTAACCCCAAAAGAGTTCCATGCTCACCTGGGGGTTATGAAGGCCCGCACAGCCCCTAGCCCCTGGGAAGTTTGGCAAAGGTTGAATTTCCTTCCCATTTGCTATTAGAATTTTCCACCAAGGGTAGGAAGGGCAGGAGTGCAACCAACCCACCTGGCATTTCATCAGCATGTTGAAGAATTCGTCGCCAGGCTCTTGGGCCTCGCCGTCCATGCGAAGGTGGCCCAGGTTGCTGGGCGTGATGCGGAGCCCAGGAAGATTCCCCACGCTGGCCCGCTGGTCATCAAGCCGCCGGCTCTGGGAGCTGGCAATGAGGTCGAAGAGCTCCTCGGTCTGCGGGGAGGCCATGGACTGAGCTGGGAGAGAAACCAGACGAGGGATGAGCAAGCCAGCCAGCCCTGGAAGAACCCTTAGTTACCTGGGGTGGAGGGGTATCAGCTCAGCTCGTCCTCCTCTCTGGCAGCCTTTTGAAGACCAGGAATTACCTCCTGGACCCTTTGGGGAGTATAAATTCCACCCCCAGTGAGTTCTGCAGTACCCAACCCAGTTTAACTCCGCCTTGATTTTCATTTAACATAAGAAAGGAGAGAGAGAACCTAGACAGACTTCCAAGAGTCTGTAGTTGGGTCTCCAATAGCTGTAACATCCGACCAATCTATGTGATGTTTGCTCCTCAACTTGGTTCACCTCAACGGCCCTTCCTCCTTGGGACAAAGTCTGGGCCTGTCTCCTTTTTCCCAAGGCGAGGAATTTTCATCTGTCCATCACAAGGAGGCTTCCTGGCCACGTAATTGCTGCGTCCCCTACTAGAACAGTGGTCACCAACCAGTCGGCCAGGGATCACTGGTGGTCCGCAAGAAAATTTTGGTGCTCCGCAGAGAAATGTCCCCCCCCCCAAAAGCAATTAATCCAGGCTGGGCAGGAACACAAGGCTTGCGTTGCTTGCATTGCGAACAACACGAGGTAGTGAGGGGAGGAGGAAAATGGCGGAGGGGGGGGACTTGCCCCACTCGCCCCACACACCTGGCCTGGCCACTAGGCTGCTTCTTTCCACTTCTTTCTTCTTCTGCTTTTGGCTACACACAAGGAAAGCAGCAAAAGTCTTTCTTTCTCTCCCCCAAACTCCACCAGAAATGAGTCTTTGGGACCCTGCAAGGCCTCCTGCTCCAAGAGGCTGCGCCAGCGTGACAAGTCTCACCAAGATTCATTCATGGCGGAGTTTGGGGGAGAGAAAGAAAGACTTTTGCTGCTTTCCTTGCATGAAGCCAGTCTCTCTCTCTCTCTCTCTCTCTCTCCCCCCCATCAAGAACAGAGCTGGAGACGGTATCCTAAATGGGGCGGGAATTTTTTTTTACAGAAAATAAAAAATTGGGGGGGGATTTTCCCAGGGTCTCTGCTGCTTTCTGCAGAGACCCTGGGAAAACGTCAGCAAGCCACCATCAGTCAAAATTCATATTAGTGGTCCACGGGATTTAAACTTATGAGTTTGGTGGTCCCTGAGGTCCAAAAGGTTGGTGACCCCTGCCCTGGAAAGTTGCTGTGTGACTGGGCAACAACCCAGCACAGGACATGAAGCAAGGCCCAGGGAAGCTGATGGCAGATTCGACAGCTTCGCAGCGGTAATATTAACAGATTAACAGAGTTGGAAGGGACCTTGTAAGTCATCTAGTCCCGTCACTACCAGCCCCCGCCCAAGCGGGAGACCCTACACCATTTCTGAGAGATGGCAGCCCAGCCTCTTCTTGAAAGCTTCCAGGTGAAGCTCCCACAACTTCTGAAGGTAATTTCTGTTCCATGGGTTGGTGGCTCTCAATGTCAGAAAATTCCTCCTTATTTCCAGGTTGCATCTCTCCTTGTTCATCGTCCATCCATTATTCCTTTTCTGGCCTTCAGGTGCTTTAGAAAACAGCTTGACCCCCTCCTCCTCTCTGTGGCAGCCCCTCAAATATTGGAAGATGCTCTCCTGTCTCCCCTGATCCTTCTCTTCCCTAGACTAGCCAGGCCCGGTTCCTGCAACCATTCATATGTTTGTGCCTCCACTCCCCTCATCATCCTGATTGCTCTTCACTGCACTCTTTCTAGAGTCTCAACCTCTTTTTTATAGTGTAGTGACCAAAACTGGATGCAGTCCTCTAGGTGTGGCCTTACTAAGGCTTTGTAGAGTGGTAGTAGTACCTCCCTTGATCTTGATTGCCTCCCTCTGTTAATGCAATTTAGGATTGCATTGGCTTTTTTGGCTGCCGCTGCACATTGTTGGCTCGTATTTAATTGGTTGTCCACTAAGATCCCCAAGATCCCTCTGGGAGTTACTGCTTGGCCACCTTACCCTTCCTTACTAAGATTGGGCCACTTACTTTGTGCCTCTTCCCGGGCAGGGACAGGGGTAGCCGCTGCTTCATCCGAGTCTCTCTGGGAGTCTTCCAAAGGGCAGCGCTGGTCTTCCATCCGGTTGCTCTGGAATTTGCTCAAGAGGTCAAAGAAACAGTCCTCACTGGAAGGGGCTCGCTTGGTTTTCTGCAACGATGAGGGCCATGACATTAAAAGAAAGGAGACGGTCGCCCATCCCTGAACATCACCACACCTCATGGTTAGGTAAAACTAAAACTGGGTTGGATTTCTCCCCTCTGCCAGCTCAGAAAAAGATCTTAAGGAGTCTTAATTTCTAGCTTTGCCTTATTTCTTTTTAATCCAACAACGTTTATTTCTTTGAAATAAAAGTTAAAATGGAAAACTCAAAAAAAAAAAAATCGAAACTTAAAAACAGCAACAAAAAAATCCCCCCAAAACACAAAACATACAAGATGTTGAAAAGAAATGTGCATTAAAAAAAACCCAACATATATACACCTATTGGCCCCCACCCCAGTTGAATATTGATTAATACGTTGCTACAATATAGTACAATATTACTACTTAATACATTATATCAAAATGGACAGTGATACACACACACACACACGCACACACAAAGGAATATATGTATGTATACAGCATGAATATGTGTGTTATGCCTGTGTTTGGGCACACTTTCTCGAGAGCAGGCAACAGAATTTCATTAATGTGAGTCAGTGTACTCGCAATAAAAAAATGACAATAAAGTTATCTTATATCTTTAGATTAGATTACATTAACAGAGTTGGAAGGGACCTTGTAGGTCATCTAGTCCAACCCCCCCCCCCCCCCCGCCCAAACAGGAGACCCTACACCATTTCTGACAGACGGCAGTCCAGTCTCTTCTAATCCTCCCCTCATCCTCCTGGTTGCTTTTCTATATTCTTCAAATATAGGAAAAGTAGGAGTTACAACTTCTCTTTTCTTTCCAACGTCCAAGAGTAAGCAGACATGCCTGCAGGAAAGGGCTCTCAAAATCACTCAGGAAAAAAATAATAATCAGAGAATGCATGATTTCAGAGCTGTGAAATGTTTCCTACTTCTGGCCCTGGGTTTCTTTCAACTCCACGCCAGAGAGAGTTAAACTGTTTCCCTTCTTCAATAGACAGTTTCACAGCGATGTCACCTGCTGGTTATAAATACTGTTCCTGACAGTAAACCGTCTTCCCCCACCCTGCAAACACACACACACACAAACACACAAACCCCTCTAGTTTGTTGCCTCCACAATAATGTAAAGTTAGCTTTCCACCTTATGGTGCCGGGAAGACAAGAAAACAAAAGAGAGAAAAAATACCCCAAAGACATGAAAAGGCTGGGAAGGGAAAGGTGTCCATCTTCCCAACGTCGTATTTAGAAGCAGTCTAAAATTATTGGCTGAGATTTTAAAAGATGCCGGCCTGGTAGGGCCAGAAGGAAGACACAGCACGTTCCAGGCGGGAGTTTTGCTCGACGAAATGATTTCTAAACCGTGTGCCCAAATTAGCAATATTACAAACCTTTTCTCGGATTCAGAACAGTTATTCCCACCTACAAACATAAGACTCTTAAGTCAGAATTGGAATAGTGCTGGAGCGGAAGGGACCCTGGAGGTCTTCTAGTCCAGCCCCCGCTCAAGCACCCTATACCTTTCAGACAATGGCTGTCCAGTCTTTTCTTAAATACCTCCAGCGATGAAGCACCCACAACTTCTGAAGGCAAAGCTGTCGAATTGTCAACTAGTGTTTCACGATAATTTAAAGACCTATGGACTTCAACCCCAGAATTTCCCTGCCAGCAAAAAAAAAAAAAACACCCTCCAGAAAAACAACCATTTTGTTCTTCAGGTGCATCTAACCTGGGGCAAGTTGTGGTCAGCCCCTTGTCTAGTCTATAAGCCTCTGGCAGCCTGGGTGAGGAATGGGGAGACCAAGTTTCCAGTCCTCCCTTCAGCCACGGAAGTTTCCTGGGCAACATTGCTTCAGTCGATTGTCTCAGCCCAGCCCACCTCACAAGGGTGTCGTCTTGGCCGGGGGGAGGGTGGGGTGGGGAGCCAGATTTTTCCAAGCTTTACCAAAAGGGAGGTGAGGAGGGCCGAGACTTGCCACACTTCAGGGGGCAGAGTGGATGGCATGCAACCAGGATGAGGGCAGGGGCTGCCATGGAAAAGATACCCTTCCTTTCTTCCCTCCAATTTAGGGCAGGGGATCGGCAACCTTAAACAAAGAGCCACCAAGGTCCTAACCGGAAGGTGTCCGTCCCCGTCCCCCCCCCAGTTCAATTCTGGAGCTGACCAGACTCTATGGCGGTTCCCCCACCATAGAGCCTCCTCCTAGCGCAGCACCCTTTTCCCTCTATCTATCCTAAGCAAAAGCCCTATCAATTGTGGAGGGAGGAAAGAGCCTCATGCGGCTCCAGAGCTGCAGATGGCTGACTTCTGATTTAGGGGAAGGGGCTAAGCCCAGGCCCACCCTGCTTGACCTGGTGGGGTGGATATTAGGGAAAAGTGGGCTCTAAAAGTGGCAGCCAGCACCTTGAGTGTCACCCAAGAAAGAAACTGGAAGCCAGGGCATATGTTTAAAAAAAGTCTCTCTCTGTGTGTGTGTGTGTGTGTGTGTGTGTGTGTGTGTGTGCGCGCGTGTGTAGCCAGGTGGCAAATACATTTAAGAAAGAAAGAAAGAAAGAAAAATAACGATAAGTTGCTAAGATTGAGAAGCAGCAGCTCTGGGTAGGAGGCAGATCTGAGATCTGAGCGCCCAAGGAGCCCCTGGCATCGTGGAAAAACGGTTCCCCAGCAGCTGGAAGGGGGAGCTGGGCAGCTCCCACCAACTTCCAAGACTTTCTATCTGAAACGAAGCGGGCTAGATTAAACCCGGGCTAGTTTAAGTCGCCTGGAAAGTGGGGGGGAGGGGGGAGAGAGGGGATAGGCTGGGAAAGCAGCATTGGGCAATTTTTCCCACGGTGGGTTTGAGGCCACGCAGGGAAGGAGGGGGGGAAGCGCCCCTCCCGGACCCCCCCCTTTCCACCCGGCTTCCACGCGTCACCTTTAAGCTGAGATGCCACGGCTTTGCTTTGGACATCGTGGCTTGTTGATGGAAACACCCCCCTCCCCCCACTTTCCAGGCTCTATCCACGAATCGCGGTTTAAGAAAGCGGGACTCACACACACACACACGTGTCCTCTGGCTCCCTAACTTTCCTCCAACTTGCCCGTTCCGGCGACGTGCCCCCCGCGGGCGCCCGCTTGCAAAAGAACCCCGTGCAGGAGCCCCGTTTGCCGCTGCTCCCTTCCAGCTCGCGGCTCCCGAAGCCCAGCCGGCTTGACTCACCCGGCCCGGCTGCTCATGTTCATCCTCCTCCTCCGTCCTCTGCCTCCGCTCCGAGCGCCCGGGAGCAGCCGGAGAGGGGGGGTGGGAGTCGGTCCGAGCCGGAGCGGAGCTGCCCGGCGTAAATGGGGCTGGGAAGCCGCTCTGCTTGCTGTGTGGAGTGGGGCGGGCGGAGAAGGGGAGAGGGGCTGCTCAGAAGGCAGAGCCAAGACAGCCTCGAAATCCTGCCCCTTTTTGGGGGTGGGGGGGCGACTTCAGGCTTCCTTAAGATGATCCCAGGTTAAAGGAGGACAGATAACAGATAATAACCAGAGTTTGAAGGGACCTTGGAGGTCATCTAGTCCAACCCCTGCCCAAGCAGGAGACCCTACACCATTTCTGACAAATGGCAGTCCAGCCTCTTCTTGGAAGCTTC